GGTGGTGATGTAATCTATTATTCTGTCTACCCACTTTTATATACTTACCATTTGATTATTATTATTCCATGTTTATTCTCACCGGTGCAAACTGGGTCCCACTCCCTACTACAATGGGTGACCGCCCACCCTGTATTAATTTATTAGTAATCTGATTACTGTAACTACGGGCTGTTGCTAAAGTGTTCACGCTTGTCCCTGTATTTTCTTGAAGTAGTAGATAGTAATCTTTCGTTCAGGTCCATAATGTTACGTGGAGGTCCATGTCAGACCCGCTAGGTCTTCATTTGCGCATCGTTCTTGGAGCGTTCGTCTGAATAGGTTAATTGTGTCTCTCTCTCTCCATATTGTGTCTCATAATGAAATTATTTATTTTGTTTATCCTAATCCGTTCTTCTCATTTATCTCCATTACTCTTTAATTGATTTGGGGCACATTCATGTTGCCAGTTTCCCTTCCCTTGATTGCTTTTCCCCGGAGGGGATTCTAACTCAGTGGTTTTTCACTGGGCATTTCCATGGTACCTTGGGTGGCCAGGCTGCGCGGATTTCTTGCGCAGGCATTTAGTTGGTGATACCCTTATTTTTTATATACCTTGGAGCATCCGTATCCAAAATTTGAGAGATTGGGAAGGATATGGGTCGTATCAAGGTGCCCTCACTGTGTTTTTTCACTCGCCTCAGTGGTAGTTAGGTCTGCCATCCTCTAGTGGTGTAGTATGGACATGTCGTCAATTTCACTCAATGCCTCGTCTTGAAGTTTAAGCCAATCGTACTGTCCAACTTAGTTCCACTTAACCTGGATCCGCTTGGCGCCTTTATGTATTGAGAGGGGAAGGGAGCTTAGAGACACTGGTCGCTGAAATGCAAGAGTTCATAACCTATACACCCTAACCTGACGCCATTGATGGGCCACCACCCTCACACTATGAGGCCAGCCTACTGTAGGTGTCTCAATCCTAATCACGGTGGCAATGAGCACTGTTCGTGCTTTGTGTCCTATACTAAACTCCAGAGTATATGGGAACCTTCTATTATATGAATAGGAGATGACTTGCATTTGTGAAAAGCAACACACAGTGGTTCTAGCGCAAATCTCATCAATGTCGTGCCGAGCCCTCTGATTTTAAAATGTCCTCGGGTGGATACCCTAGGGTCGATTTGACTTGTGTTGATCAAGTTATATTCGAAGATATGTATACATGTATTTGGACAACTTTAACAATGGGCTCGGAGAGTTAGATAACGAACCAATAGCTCTGAAAATTGGCACTATGTGGTTGAACGGAATATAGCCAACTTTTCCAAAAAAAAGTCTGGTTACATATATTTCAAAATTCCAGTCTGACTCCCTTAAATTAGCTTCAGTGGCTGAGCTACAGATAAACTTACACTATTGGTCCTAGTGGTCGATTTGTGCCCCATTGAAACCCATTATAAACGCTATTTCCCATTCCACGGTCATTACAACCAAATAATGGGCCATCTTCCGAATGTTGGTGGTACTCGGGAGTCCGGGCCTTGGAATTGTATCTTTTGGGAAATATTTGATTTCTTTGTTTTTTGGGGCTAAAAAAACAGTGCGGCCATGTGACGAAACCGGGATATAAAGGGTTAAAATCCGCGAAATGTAATTAAAACTTGATATGAATATTTCAAGGAGAAGTAGGTCTAAAAGATTGGCTAATTTAAAGTGGAAAAAAATATTAATATATAGATATTTTATGGCACTTTTCATGGCGTGGTCGATTTGTGGCTCTAAGCCCAATAGTGTATGCATTTTTCTAGGACCCCCCAGAGGTTAAACAGATTGCTCTTGTTTGTTACTCCTTTGTGTCCTGCATCTGGGTCCTCTCCTAATCACTATCTCTGGCAGATAATAGAGAAGTTGGTGGAAAAATAAATGTCAACTTAAAGGTATTTCAAGCAAATTAGTTCATTAGTTGATCAGTTTAACCAGACAAATATTTAGATTTCTTAATTTATTTAATAAGGTTAATAACATTTTGATTTTCAAATGGTCACACAAGTAATAAAATACACAAATCTCAATCATATAAATGTAACAGCAACTGCAATACATTATTATCATATGATTTGTCTGTTAAGTATCTTTGACAGCCCCTAGAGTAGCGTACTGCAAAAACACTAAATATGAGAGTGCATGAAAGGAAAAGCAAAGGCAGAAAGGGACATCCAGTTATTTTAGCTTCATGGAGTCAGTTAAGAGTGACAAACTTTGGAAAGTTTTAAACTTAGAGTAAGCAGGTCATGGCTGTGGTCCCCTCATATTTTTAAGGAGGTGGACTGAACTTCTGCAGAGTGGAATTCGCTATGATGCACCGACTGGAGTAGGCAGATATAATCAATAGAATTACATGAAATGGCAGCCTGAATCACACCACACACAACCACTGTACTGAAAACCCTAAAGGTTTGTCTATTTAAAGCTCAACTGCCCTGACACAGAAAAAGTTGTATTGCTTTATTTACTGTACGCGCATGATTCATGCAAACTGAAGCATATGCTGCAGAGGCACGACAGGCACTAAGATAATTTTAACGTTCTATTCCACCGTGTAGTTCAGAGGCGCCTCAGTTAATGAGACTCAGTCTGTCTGGTTCTGAGTCTGACTTTCAATCCACCACCCACTGAGTTCACATATTAAAATTATACCACTGGGGAAGAGTTCAGTCAGTGGAAAACAATGTGTCATTTTCATCCATATCAAATGATATGGATACAAGAAGAAAATGTTATCTTTGGGGATATCCGTTGTCATTAGGTAATTTAAGGGCGAAGTGATGTATCATTTGCCTCATCGGGACCTCCTGACGCATACTAATACCAAAACAGTTACACTTCATTTCACAAATTCTCTCTGCTCCCAGCAATACCTCAGTCAGAATTCAGTTTACGAGTTAAAAGTGCAAACATAGTTGTGAATATCAATGTGAGAAAATGTCACTTGTGGTATCACAGGAAATTTGTTAAGTTACTTTCACGTTTGTTTTCCACCCTTGACCGGTCCTTGTACTGATCATTATCAAATCTCTGTGCTGATGTCTTCTCAGAAGTCTGCATTATAATTACTTTAAGCAGCCTTTATTAGAGATAATGGACCTTCAGAGTTCAATCACATTTAATTACAACTGACAAATTAGGCTCTAACTATATCTACACTCTACCTGGGAAAAAGAATATCAAATACAAGAACAACTGCTTCCATGCGTTGTGCATTTCATTGAATTAAACGAGGATTCGGGGAAATAGATAAGAGTTAGTCAGGAGAGGGGGCACAAAAGCAGAGGTGTGGATATGAGGCCTAAAAAATTGTGCAGCAACATCAAAGCACTGGTGATGGACAAAAGCATCTGAACCGTACAGATTTGGTATTCTCATTAAAATCTGCCAAAAGTTTTAAGTCTCCCCACTTTTCTTCAAACCTTAATGTGTATTTGGATGTGTATGTGTATTTGCATTGATAACTAATATATGCAGTATATATGGACACAAACTGGACATGTTATGACACAGAGCTGACTTTAGAATGTGTCATATGAATGATGATGGTGGTCTAACTTCTAACGAATACATATACATCTTTCATGGGGCTAACAGGAGTGAACTGTGCATTTGGAAACCACAGCAGCTGCAAGGTTTCACATCACACTGGTTTAAGTTGAATTATGGTTTAGTCCCTGGTTTTTCTTATGTCACAAATCAAGCTTGCAGTTACAAGTAACAAACAAAATTCCCACTCTCAGCAGATTCATCTGAAACAACCTTCTGCTATTTGATCCTGAACATACTTCAATCTGCACAACAAAGGTGAACAAAAAGACGTCACTTTGATTTTTGAGTGAAGGAGACTCTGATGTTTATGGCAACAACAGGCAAGAAACATCTCAGTCTTGTATATTCCCATCTGTGCATCTATTCTTGAGCAGATTGCATTACTAAAAAAAGATATAAATGCAACTTGATACATGATAAAATTTCGTTTACTTTTGGTTCATTCTACTTAATTGTATCGTATAATCCAGTTTTGTATAATTTTCCTGATACTGTGTCCATCTCATGTAACATTTTGTGCATATTACCAGTGCAGCTCTCTCTTTATGGAAGTAAAGGCGATTTAGATGTGTTCTGACTTGGAAGCCTATTTACCATTTCCAGAGAGAGGGCGTTTGTTTGCATGGCACTAGGGAGAGCCCTAGTGGTAAAATACTGAACTACAGATTTAATGCATTATTTTTGTACACACACACACACACACACACACACATACAAAAGGCAAAAGTGCCTGGCGCTCATGCTGGTACACAAAACATGACGATAATAAAATATGACATACATAAGTATTTTTGTCAATAAGGTCATATGAACAGAAGCACTGTATTATAGTGAATTAACACAAGTCATTTGACCTTGAAACAAGAATATGCTAGCTCTTTAGTTATGTTAAATTTATGTTAAAGTTCAGAGAAATTTCTGCAAAAGTCTGTAATTGTTTTTTAAATATTTCATCTCAGATTCTTCTGTTCTGTTTTGGGACCCGCACCTGAAAGCATCTCTGTGGTAGAATGTATATTAGGCTACATTGCCAGAAGTGCTTGTTAATATTTCTGATTTTAGAAAAGCAAAATGACTTTAACTCCATTCCCTACAGCTGCTGTAAATATAGCCAACAAAGACATACACCTGAGTCTCTAGGTAATTTTACCTCATTTTTTCAACAAGAAAGGGATGGTTATAGGCAGGGCTGCACACAAGTGGTCCGCAGGAGCGCATTCGGGGTCAAAATAAAAGACGCGCACCAGATAAGAAGTTGGAACGCGCATTTGCGTACAGTATGATTATGACTGTTATTAGTACTGAAGGAAAATAAAGCTACATTCAATCCGCCCTGCCAGTGATATGATTCACTGCAGCTCAACTGTCAAAAATGGTATGTGTGCAAAGTCAAACACTGTATGTGAGTAGAGTAAATTTGAGTATGCTCACCTGTCAACATGACAGAATAGTTTTTGCTGCACTGGTACCTGTCACAGCTGTAGCACTTTCAGTGGCATCAGAATGGCACTTTGGGTCTTAGCTCATATAATCTCTAGCTACTCTGATGGGTGTTGAGCTTGCTGCAAACTTCTGCAGTAGTGTCAGAAATGACACTTTTATTCATGGACCTGAACTGGCAGGTAACACAAACAAGAATATGCTTGCTCCACAGTTTGCTGATGTGTTACAGAACCGAGTCAGGTCAAAGAAGTCTTTGACAAGAGACAGCTTTCTATATTATAAGACACATTACTTTTTAAATATTTGCTTGAGTTTATGCAAGTTAAGGCCTGTTGAAGCTTTCAATTGTTGCAGGTGAATTCACCTATAGTAATATGCCAAGTGTGCCCCAGAACCCTGCTCATATACTATGTGTCTCTACTAAAGTCATGCTGCCATACAACAGGGGTGTCCAACTCCAGGCCTCAAGGGCCGGTGTCCTGCAGGTTTTAGATCTCACCCTGGGTCAACACACTTGAATCAAATGATTAGTTCATTACCAGGCCTCTGGAGAACTTCAAGACATGCTGATGAGGTAATTTAGCCATTTAAATCAGCTGTGTTAGCTTACGGAGCTTATTTCTTCTACGGTATTCAAAAATAAGCAACTTACTTACAGGAGAGATATATTTCCTGGCAATATGGCAATCATGGATGTGGCTGTCATGCTATTTGAGCCGAAAAACTTTTAAAATGAAAGAAAGCTTCAATTTTGTAATCAGTTGCGTAGTGCTGCCTCTGGTGGCTGCACACAGCAAAAGCTGTTGGCTCACAACCATGCAGTCTATGAAAACAAGTTACTTTACACATTTATAACCATCTGTTGTTTTTCTGAATTACCATCAACCACGTCTGCGTCTCCATGTTAGCATGTCTTACGGAACATGTAGTAAATTAGGATACCAAGATAACAACTACACACATGGTTACACAACAAGTTGCTCTGACCTCTTCGATAATGCTCGACAGGTAAACTGATTTTCGGGGTAAAAAACGATGGAGGGACTGATTTGCTCTCCAGATAAAACCTTTTATTCCATTTTAATCATCTGGGCTAAAACTTCTGTCCCTCTCAATCATTCTCTTCATCTCTCTGTCAGAGTAATATGAGAGGATCATTGAATCTAACAAGGTCAAACAGATGAAGAGAAATAAGAAACCAGCCTGGAAGAAAAAAAACACTGATTTTTTTTAATAGATTTAGTTCACTTTGCATTTAATTTTAGAGAATAAATACTCATCTTTTTTCAAATAAAATAATATCCTAAAACCCCTTTGTTTCATATCAGATTTCTCAGATATCCAGCATGAGAATGTGGAAAGGTCTTCACTTCTGGTACTCACAAAAATGGTTTCACTGTATTACCTACAGCTTTTAAGACACAAGTGCTTGTCTGAATAATCAGTAAAATTAATAAAAACAAGCAGACAGTTTGTGTTGAGTTTCGGACAGACAAGATTTCTTCATTACTACATACACATCAACAGGGATGAGTATAAAATAACAGTTACTGGAAAAGAAGGAGACTTTGTTAAGTAATCATGAGGCAAAAAGGCTAAATTCATCCAGGATTGCCGAAAAAGCAATACTGCTCTATAAAAGGAAACGATGATTTGAAGGCATCTTCACTCTTTATGTCACCACTGACTGTTTACCCACAACAGCATTGATCAGAACATAATCAGCAAAGCATTCCACGTGAATATCAATAAAAGTAGGCAATCTATACCATCTCAGTGTGTATACAAATATATTGCAGCATCCCTGGTGTAGGCCTACATGCACTCATCTTCAGTCAGTCCCACTTTCAGTTCCCGTGCAAGCAATTATGCATGAAGAGTTCAAACTAACCTGCTAGAGCCTTTCATGCCACAGTGAAATATGAGGAAAGAATTCCTTCAATGGGAGTTTTAAACATTTGTTTTGGGGCCTAATATGGTGTCCTAACATGAGGCTGAAAAAGTTCATAAAGATGGCTAAATTAAACCCATCCCATTAGAAAAGTCAGTAGGATTTCTTTTCATTTTTCTAGAGAATAATCGTGACCGCCTTGTCCCTGCTAAAATAATTGTAATAAGTGTCCTTTATACTATTCAAGGCTTGGTCTTTTATTTAACCTGTAAATTTATATACTATATATTCTGTATTTACTGAGCCTGGATCACTATCATTAATACTCACATTTTAACTTTCAAGGTTGGCAGACATGTTTTATATTGTTATGTATGACCTGGCTTAGTTTCATTACATATGAAAACTTCCCAAAAAAATGAAGGTAATTGTCTTCTATAGCATGACTCCAGGGCACAATGATGATCCACAGTGATATGTTCATCTTGAACACTGTTTCTGAACCATGAGACGATGGCTTGTGCGCTTAAACCTCTGAATGGGAGCGGTGATGCAGAACCTCATTATGTGTCAGTACTTTAAACAAACGTGGCATTTTATTCATTAAATGTGCTCATTGAGACCATCGAGATGCTTTAGGGGCAGTAAACAAGCATATACTCACTATCTTTATAGTTGAACTTTACAAGAAATGACGCCGATACTACTAGAAGTTAAGAGACTGGATTTTGTTTAAGGATTTGAAATTGTAGAGTAGGTGTGCTGAATCATCGGCAAATGATAAAGTATAAAAATCCAGCTGAGCATATAAATTTGACTTCAAAGTTGTTCATTTGGGTTTGCAAAAGCCAAAGTGTTTGTGTTTTCGACATTAAAAAAGCCAAACATATGGTTAAGTATTTGACCACAGTAATATACTATAATAACCACCTATTACTGTTCAAAGGAAAGGTCTCTTAATGCTAACCAAGTGAATTTACTTTTTGAACACCCAACAAATACTGCAGTCATGAATGATTCTCTCACTTTGCATACACGGAGATATACAGTTCATCAGTCACATCATCATGGATGCATCGTCATGTTAACTTGGGTTAAACTGAAAACACAAATACCCATTCACTGTATTTAAACCATTTCTTAATTTAAAGAAACTAGTTTAAACTAAAAAAAGAAAAACAATATTAGTCCACCAAAGATAACAAGCATTTGTTGTTATTGGTGTTATTATGTGATCTGCAAACAAACATTAAAAAGCGATGCACTGGTTTGATATTGTATGGATTCGGATATTAGCAGATATTGATCGAGCCCATCTTGTTCAAGCTAACGTTCTATAAAAGGAGATTAGATACACAATGTCCTTATACTGTACATGCTCATATACACTGTGGTTTATACTTACCCATCTGACAGGAAGAATTTGGTCCTCTCAGTACAGACAATAACGCTACGGGGTTGTCTCTTCTCAATTAACTCTGATTACCAAAAAAATTGAGATCATGGGAAAAAAAGACATTTTCCATATTTAGCGTCTCCTATTGACATATCTACAGAGAGATGTGTGTACTTACTTTGGACATCATCAACAGAGGATGGCAATAATCTTTTGTTCATTTCCCTAAAGTCAGGAGCTAAAAAAAACATCAATGGTGTATGAAAAGAAATCAATAAGTGGATCATCAGTGGATAAAGAACATCAGTCTGTTATAGAGTACAAACATCAAAAATCTGTCCATAGGAATGCCACCACTGTGTGCATGTCCTGCACACATGGGAGCAGAATCAAACCTAGAACTCAAACATGTCATTCTGCTTCTTCGCTAGCTTTGCCACCTCCTGTCGGATCGCTTGCACAAGTGCTGAGGTGGAGAGGCTGCTCAGGGGCATACTGTCCATGTCCTTCAGCACCTGGGGTAGACTTTGCTGGGATGATGTGCTTGGGGCAGGTGGTGGCTGCTCCAGTGTCTGGTTATACTGCAGAGGCAGCCTGGTGGGGCTCCCCTGTGGGTAGCGAGGATGAGGAAAAGCCTCTACGTACCCAGGCAGGGGCACCTGAAAAACAAGATGAACAGGACATCAGAAATACAGAAACATCATTACTACTGCCCACTAAAGATGACTTTGTTAGAAGACAGAATATTCGTTAGTTTTCCATCTTGCTGAGTGAACAGTTTCTCTTGAACCACTAATTTAAAAGAATGGGTGATAACGCAAAATATACAAAAAATGGACCAACTTAACAAGGAAAGTAATGAGTGTGGAGCTCTACAAAAATATTAAACTAAGATGCAACTTGATTCAAACATTGCTTCGAACAAAAATCTACTTTTGCATGAAGACACAAATTTTAAGTGTCAGCATTACACACCACAAAACTAAAAAAAAAAAGGGAAAAAAAGCAAACAGTAATTTTTTTAAAAAGGTGTTCATTTAAGAAATGTGCTCAACTACCCCAGTGTTTTGTTGTGTCCACTCAACGCCAGCCATAAATTCAGTTCAGCAAATGGTTTCTAAATGACACTGGTTCTGCAAAAAGACACTGCATGAATGCATTTGGTTGAAACAGGCAAAGAGACAAGAAAAAAAAAGACAAAAAACATTTCATACAAACAGGGAGAGTGCAGGGAGGGAGGGACACATAGGCCACACGGGTTGCAATAACACATCTAACAAGACAAATGGAGCCTTTCCAATTGTAATGAAAAACAAAGAACATTTAGGACTGTGCTTAACAGCTACTAAGTTAAGTGAGTCCCAGTCATCTTCAAAGTTAAAGACTGGGCAGAAAATGTGTTTTGGATCAATGTCAGTTCCATAATGAGACAAAGGACAAAAAAAATGTTTAATGGGGAGGGGTATCCCAACTACGCGACTTTTTATTATTAATTCATGTCAGCTCAGTACCACGCTTTATGGCTCTTTGGGCTTGAATTGAACTTATGGAGAAGAATTTTAATATTATCTAATATATTTTTATCATATTAATAGTGTGTTTCAGGAAACTGTATGAAAATAAGAGAAAACAAAAAAAACAACCTTACATGTATGTTATGTTTATAGCCATTCTCTAACCTGTTCAGAGTCTTGATTTATTCTTAATCCTTCAAGAAATTCATTTGGAGGAGTTTATTTTAAAGATCTAATTATTTGTCCAAGGATCTCTTGGAGCTATGGGACAGAAGCTTAAGCCGGACTGTCCTGTTTAATTCCGACATCTGGTAACGACATTCTACCGCTGTACATTAATTATTCTGCAGTAGGCTCGGGTGCTTCGGGCAAAATGAGCTTCCTTACAGAATCTGCCCACTGTGGCGGCACATCCTCGGGTTCAGGTGGATAAGACATCCAAGAGGGACTGTGGTAGGAGGTGGGCGGTGTGGACACAAAGTATTCTGAGTAACCGGGCCTCGTGGCTGGGATGGCATAGACAGCCGTGATTGGGTTTCCTGTGAAAAATAGAGAAGAGAGATTGGCGCTGACTCATTTCATTTGTGGGTTCATAAATTTCAGCTTTTCACCTCGAGCATTTTAAGTTGTCCAAATATTTTTCCATTCTTGACAAAGTAATGTTGGCATTAAAGCACACTAGAACACACTGTGGGTTGCTTTTAAAATGCAAAGTCATCTCCTTCTTATGCTTACCTGAGTAGTTGGACACAGGCTGCTCTGCAGTGATAGATGGAAGTGCTGCTCTAGTGGTTGGCCCATATGGGTTGTTGTCATGTTGACTCTGCATTTCAGCGACAGATGTCTCTAAGCTCCTTCCCTTAGGCCCCAAGTCAGAAGTGGAACTAAGTTGGACAGAGATTGGAGAGGCAATAAATGCTGCAATACTACACCACTAGATGGCAGACACATGCTGAGTGAAAAAGTGGGCACCTTATTAACATTCTTCCCATCTCTCAATGCACTGCTCCAATATTAAAATTTACACAAACCCTAAAATCGCGCTGGCCACAGTACATCACCCAGTGACTATCTAGTCCCTGAATATGCATTTAAATATGAATAAATGTTGAATATCTTATGGGTTTTGGGAAATACAGGCAGCAGTATGACGGTCTGTCTGCAGCTGTGCTCGTGTATATCTTCAGCATTACCGTCTTAGAGAAGTCCCAGGAGGGGGCCCAGTGCGAGGTGGTAAAGGGGGAGGAGAACCCATGGCCTCAGGAAGCTGGGTGAAGCGAAAGGCCTTAAACAGATTGTGAAAGCCATTTAGGGTTAACGTTTCTTTATTACAGGTATTAGAGAGCACAAGTGATTCTCAGCCAACTTACTGGTTTAGGCAGGCTACACTGATACATATCTGTACCATAAGATGGCACCCACTGGAGGCCTCCCTGTCCAGAGCTCATTGTACCCGGTGCACTGGTCACCACATCTGCATAAGGGAGGGGAGGTGGCGCAGGGTTGTAGTGGTTTGGTTGGTGGTGGTGGGAGTGCCTTCCAGATGTGGACTGCCCCCCTGAAGCCAGACTGAAAGCCTCCTCTAGCAGCAGGTGCATCTGCTGTCGCACTTCATCAATCGACGGTTGCGAGCTGAGAGTGGATGTCTCTGAGTGGCCTTTCAAGCCCCGTCCATACATGTATCCCCGCGGTCCCATGATACGATCAACATTTGTCTCTTCAATCAACTCTGGCTCAGTCTGAAAATATTACCGTAGGGAAACTATTGTGAACTGAGACTAAACATACTTTTGCAAAGTCTGACAACTTGTACATTTGGTAGAAAAGCCTATATTTATCTGTTTCATTTTCTTAAATAACAACAACAACAACAAAACAAGCAACATACAAACAAGACTGATGAGATATGCAATTTTGGCACAAGTTTAACCCTCTGAGGCCTAAGAAATTATCTGTGGTGACCCAAACCCTAATCTCAGGTTGACAGTTAAGATTTTAGCAATCAAGTCACAAAGAAATGATCATTCCAACTGAGACACATCAAAGCCTATTTTTTTCTCAAAATACAGGGTTATGATTAGAGCTTAGGCTAGGGTTAGGGTTGTCACCAGTGATGACTTTAGCCCTCAGAGAATAAAAGCATCAGTTTCACGGTAGCTTTATGCTGATGGTTTGTGGAAAGCATGCTTTGACTTTCAAATTTTTGTGATACTTTTAAACGTAGCCTTTCCACACTGAATTGTCCGGATGCTAACAGATACAAGTCCTGTAATGTATTTTGTAACTCTGTCACTTGGTTGCAAACAAAGTGCTGACTGAGCTAGAAGAGGCTGTTTAACATACACTTGAGTGTACTAGATTAATTTGCTGTAATAGTTTAATCCAATGTTGTTATGAGTTTGGTTACAGTAAGCTTAGGAGAAGGGCCACTGATACTTTATACATAACCACTGTCCTCTCAACTCTATGTATTCCACTCCCAGACTTAATCTCCTCCATCTTTTCTTACTTTCTCTTTAGCCACATGAAATCAGTCCTCATACTTAGTGATAAATTAATATGAGTTGAGGCTGTCCTACTTCCTGTGCGACTACAGACTAGTCATGGGAGACCTAGTGTGGTGCACCTCATAAATCAGCCCCTCTTGCAACACAGAACATCAGAGAAATATATCTGCAATGATGGAGCCTGCAGCTACACGAGGCCCTCTGTAATGTACAGGGCCAGGAGTTCTGAGAAAGGATCTTGTAATTTGTACTAGCCATTGTGCCATGTTTCTAACAGAGCTGAAAGGTTGGTAACAAAGACTTCAACACACTGTTTTGCTTGCGATACTAGCTAGTCATCTCAAACACCTGATCTATTTAAACTGGAAGCAAAAAGCTGCCAGACCAGATTTGAACCTGCAACAGAAGACAAAGCAACAGAATTGCATAAAACAGTAAGATTCAAAATAGGCGCCCAAACTACAGCTATAAGAGCCAGTAGACCCTTTTATTTTTCTCCCATGAAAAGTCAGATGGCTGTCAGGTCAGTGGAAGTTCAGAGAAATATTTCCAGCACTGGCTCAGAATGAAAGCCCTCTTTAGGAATGGTCTGCCTGATTGCTCTTAGAAGCTCCCATACCTGTGTTTGGTCTTCATGACAGAAAAAAGCCATACACAGAACCATAATGGACCAATAAAACAGTAGGGACATAAACCAGTCTTCCTGAGATGCATTATATATCAAAACGACAGGACCCAATAAATCTTAGCTCTTAATTATAAATGAACCACTTTTCTACCTTCAGCAGGCTGGGGCACACTTGAAACCACACCTGAGTTGAATATAACTCATTTCTAGCTCTGTTGCTGCATAGAGAATAAGGCTGAACTCCAGCAGGGATTGATTTTGATCTTTTAATTCAGTGCAAATAGGCAACCTTTTCTTTAATTACTATTAAAATGAATGAGAAACACGGGCACCGTTGAAGAGTAATACATCAGAAAAGTAAAAGTCACTTGTGCAGTCTTCTACACACAGGTTGCAAATTACCTCGTATTAATACATTTAATAAATACCAGCATTTGTTTCAGTGTTGCTAAAATGCTTTGTTAAATAAGTTTACACATAAATATCTTCCTCTGTCTTTAAGCAGGCTTTTACAAATGCTATACTCCCACATGATATGATCTCTTAATGCAATTCAGTGTAAAATGGCTGCGCAGAAACGCCTTTTAATGTGTTCTAACACATCCCTATGTCTAACTGAAGCCTTTCTCTTACAGGAAAGCTGCGTTCTCAGCTCTGGAAATACTCTGTTTGGTTCAGGTGAGGGTGCTGCCTGGGTAGAGCTTGCAGGAGGCAAGACACACGGCGTCCACTCACCCGATGTAAATTCTCCAGGTAATTACCTATTGTATTCTCCGACTGAGTCAGACATGCGCTTCTCGCATACAGCTCTGCGGGATAATGTCGAGAAAGGTTCAGGGCTGCAGTGCCAAATGTGAAAAACTGCTTTAGTTTTGTCAAGCTGCTCTTCCCCCATTTTGCTGGTAGTCTGTACAAAATTTCCTCTTGTCTTAAGTGTCCCTCTACAGCTGCACAGCAGCTTAACAATGTCTACAGAAATACGAAGGGGAAAATTTGCACTAAAATTAGCTGGAAATTTGAAAGACATGCATTCTGTTTGCCCAACACAGACAGATGAACCCTCATTATAGTTTTAGCTGAACTGTGGAAATATCTTTTACTCACAATGAAGCCTGTGGATTTTAATTCCCCATCAGAGGATCGCTTCACAGGCAGCAAGGACAAGAGTAACAAAAAGAGTTAAAATTACCAAATCTTTAATAAACTGGTGCATATTTTTTAAAATAGACTTGAACCTGTGTAGAGTTATCTTTTAACTGTTAGCTGGATGATCTAGTTGGGCAGACAGGGTCGGTGTTGAAATATAACTCACATCATAGCCGCTGTTGCGGATGCCTCTCCTGGGTCTCTCTCTCATTACAAGCAGGTCCATCTCTGTTCCTCCGGGGCTCGGACTGCTTAAGCTTTGTCTGCTTCGATAGGCCGCCTGCCCTACCTGCGAGTGCCTGCCAATTAGAGTAAAGAGTGGACTCAGTGCAAATCAAATCTGGTTTTGTTATTAACTTAAAACATTTACTCTTTCAGTTTTAATTTCCCCGCAGTGGCAAGTAGTGATGGGTGAAGGAAGACAATAAACCTTACAGTTTTTATTGAGCCTGACATTATGAACAGGGCGAGGAAAAGTATACATGCTACCTGAAATGTTAACAGAGGGATGAGATGTGATATGTTAGAAAATCCCAAGAATATCAAAGAAAAGTTCTGGGACAGATTTCAAATAATTGTTTGAAAGATTTATTTTTTTCAAAGTAAAATGGTCATCAAGTGAACACACAAACCCACTTTCTGGTTTGAACATTGCTGCTTAGCAGATGAGTGTGAGTTATTCTGATGTCTAAATGTAAAGTACAAGTACTACACATGTTTTTGTGCATCTGTATGGTTGAAACAGGACAGAACCAGCATAGTGGTCCATCCAAAACCCTGAATTATCTCCATTAGGGATGCTCTGAATTTGGATCAGTCTAATCAGAAAGGCCTAATGGGACTCCCACTACCTACTATGGCATAAATGGATAATAACAGTATTAGAGGAGGCACTTTCACTTATAGAGGTAAGCTAATTAGGCACAGCAGGGGTGAGCAGAGATTGCTAGCAGTCCATGATTAAAAGTCCAATCAACCAATATGAAGAACATGATACATGTGGTGGGTCAAACTTGTAAGCAAGAATGGATCTTTCTTTGTGTTGACAGTCAGTAAAATCTTGTTTCCAGCTGCTTCCCTACTCTCCCCTCACCTTCTGTGAGACTTGACATAAGTAGAACCTCGCTCATCATCAGGCTCCAGCGGTCTTCCATGCTCATCGGCAGCCCTCTCATGACCGTGTCGCTGTCTCTGTGCCACAGCCCGGCCACTGCTGCTGCCATTGGTGGACGGGAAATCATAATAGCCCTTCCTTTTAGCCTTCAGCCTCAGCTTGTTCCTGTAGTGTTCAATGTCTGACTTCTGCTTCAGTGCCAAGTTCACCTGCAGAGAGGGTAGGCCACAGGATGTAGCAGAACAGAGGACAATCAGAACAAATGCAGACATGAGGTTATTCTGTATGCAGTTACAGGTTTGTCTTAGAAGGCAGGTGTGAATAGAAAATGAACCCTTATTAAAAATTCATTATGTTGCTTCAGTATTACAACTGACATGAAAAATAAATTAAAACCCAAGAATAAATTATTGAACTATCCACTTCCAGGTTCTTCTTTAGACTCACTGTAAGTTTTCTAAAAATGTTCTACTGGAAATCCTTCTTGGAAATGACAGCTGGATAAGGTTCCTATAAATATCAGATGTTGATTAAAAATGTGCTTATTTGTGGGTAGCACACAGAAAGATGTGACCTTGTGCCAACTTTTTCCTGGCGATTTTAAACTTAAGAGAGAAGTATGCAAGGACAGAATTCTATGTCTTCCAGCTTCTATGACACGTTTTTTTTGTTCAAAAAGTATCCAACTGAGAGGATGTGTGCATTTGCATCACCTCTCCATTGACAATAGCCGAGTCCTGGCTGCGGTCAGAGGATGCCGGATGTGAGTAGTTGGTCTGTGCTGCCACTGGCTTTATGGAGATAAGCTGCAGGGAGCCAGAGGAGGTGTCATATGGATCTGAAGAACAGAGAAGGAGTTCACTCACAAAGAGACTACAAATACCTCTAATCATTACATTGTCAGTCAAAGAGGAATAAACGGTCACACTCTCTCTTTGTCTGTCTGTCTGATAACCACCCCCGCCTGCCCACCCAAGGGCTCCTGTCACCTCTTGATACTTGGGATTATGTCAAACATCAGTTGTCTGTGTCAGCAAACGAGTTTTTGGATGGAGACAATAGATCACAAAGATAGATTTGGCTTCCAAACTTGTGGCATTGCATCTCTGTGATAAATGAAGAAAAACTGACTTTGCACTTTAGTTCCTCGTTCAGCATCAGACAAACTAGATTCAGTCCTAGCTTTCCCTTAACTCAGCTGATGAATTATTCAAAACTAAGCATTAAGAATATCATAATCGAGCACCCCTGATCTAATTTAAAGAGTATTAGATTAATTTCACTCACATCCACCACATATAGAACATTTAGCTTCAGTGGACGAGAATAGAAGAGCAAATAATTCAACATCTAAATGGATTTCGCATAAACTGCACAGAATGCTCAAAGAGCACGAGAAGGCTGACTTCACATGGTCGTTTGGCTTTTTTTATGTTTTGCATTAATACATGTGTTCAAGCATGTGTTTGTGTCAGTGTGTCACAGCATCTGCTAGTCTGACACGGTGTATTATGCCAGCAGACTCTCTGTTTCATGTAATATTGATCAGATCTATCTATGCTTATTGCTGAAGAGGTACCTACTTTAGAATGTAAAAATAGCTGCAGTAGAAATGTAGTAGACATCCCTCCTATGCAAGTGTTTTGCATAGGAGAGAATGGAAAAACATCTGTCATACACCTGACCTCGTCCGCAAAGGAGCTATAGAGCAAATTATTTGTATTTGCATCAGCGTGTAACTCTCACCGTCCCTCTGGCGAGTCTCCTCCTTTGTCAGTTTCTGCTGTGCTGTGATTTTCGACACCGTCAGGCCCCTGCCGGAATTGGGCTTCTCTGATTCGTTGCTGATGACGGAACCATCCTCACTTGGCAACTTGCTGCAAGTAACCATAGCAACAAGAAAGGCGGTGAGCTCTCAGGAAGCTGGGCTCAGAGCCAGGTTATGTCATCCCTCGCTTTAACAACCTCACCTTCTTCTCTCGCTCACTCAAGCCTTTGTCCTGTTACCACAATGTGCTATTACTGGTTTTTTTTTTTTTTTTGCATAGCAAAAAAAGAATAAAAAAGATGTGTGCTCATGTTAAAATCATCACCAAATGCTGCCTGCTCTTAGTATATCAGTGAAATCAAAAGTATTCAATCAAGTATGTTCATTTTGTTCACTGAGACTCATTCGTTTTGCAGTAAAATGAAAGCAAACGATAGAAAAATCATCTTACTGACAAAAAACTTTACTACCATTATTATATTTGAAACATGTAATAACAAAATAATCATCTAATTCTCTTGCTAAAAAAATTGGCAATATGAAGGATTTTTGGACATTTATCTTCCCGTTTTGTGTCTGTACTACATATGCAGTGTCGATGTATGTGCAAAGTACACGTCAGATTATTTCCAGAGTGAAGCAAGGCTGGACAAACAATTGCTTCATCCAAACTGTTGTTTTTACTCGCTTCAAATGCCGTACTCTACTTGGAATTAGAGCCGATCAAGCCTCGGCTCAAAAGACCACGAGGCTGACAGTGACATCAAAGCACTATGGTCTATCCCCTAATTGTCTGCCTAAAATTGATAACAGCAAAGAAAGACAGTGGAACAGTGGCTACCCTCCCCGTGCTCTAACTGAGGCAGTGCTGCAGAGCTAGCCCCACTCTATAGTCTGAGGCTGCATAGAAACATATAAAAATTTATAGAGGTGGACAGATTGTGGTTACCCTGTCGGTGTGAGAGAGTTTTAGGTTTAAGGCTATTAGAGATACACTATACACGGATGCACATAATCATGTAATAAAATTAAAATAAAATTAAATGACATGATTTTAGATGTTGACAAAAAAAACGTTTTGGTTTTTACAAGCTATGTGTATTAGTTAATGCATGATAACAATTTTTTGAAATGCAACAGTGTGGCATTTTACCCCCTTTAATCTAAGTTTAAAGTATATCTAATATTCCACTCTCTTGTTATACTGAATGGAAAGTCAATCAGAAAATAGCTCATCCGGCTCATGATCAATCACAATTGACAGGTTAATATAATAGATGAAGTACAGAAGAATGTTATGTTGCTTCTTGTCATTCGTTGGCTGAATTACACAAACTAATGACATCTAAAATCCACGGAGGTTCACAAACAGTTATATCTGCAAAAACTTAAGTAGCAATTCTTGTAAAAGTGGAAAAAGCACCAGTGAAATTACAAATATGACCATAACCTTCGGAAGTTTCGGTGAAGCCCCATTAGCAGATCATTGTGTACAAACTTCACTAAAATCTAACCAATACTTGAATTGTGGCATTGCAGAAGAGATAATCGAGCTAACAGACCATCGATGGATGCTTCGATATCCCATAAGCCATTCTTTTGGATGAGCTAAATTAACAGGATGGCAAAGTAAGTCAAACCACAGTATTCCTTGTCTATCGGTTTACATTATTGATGTGTCTAAATGTATGAAAAAGCTAAAACTAAAGGTTATTTTTTGACGTTACCAAACAGTAAACAAAAATGAACAACCTTGAGCTCTCTGGATAAGCGACACTTGGGAAAATCTTGAAGCACATGCTTCCTGTATTTTGGCACCATAGTAATAATAATAGCAGGATTTTAATTAATACTGGCAGTTTTACGTCTGCCTAATCAAATTTAGAAATTGGAGAGTATAATAGTCTTATAAAAATGAGTCACTGACACTGATGTTATTGGAACTGTTTTTAAAACCAATTAGTGTGATGGCCTTGCGTCAATAGTTGCTGTTTGGCCTGCTTTCTGCTTCCTCCTTTTTATTTCTGATACAAATCCCTGACTCTGTTTTCGCACTCACAGACTGAATTCACGTGATCAGGAGTCTGTATAAGCTTCTTTTCTCTGACCGTGGTTCTCTCTCCTCCCACCTTGAAGGCTGGTGCCTTTTAGCCACCCAGCAAGATTTACATTTGCTATGATTTGATTGATTTTCAGCTATTCTCCTGGGTGGCCACCTTCATTTGTTCATTTGGTTTATATTTGTTGAGCTGCTATTAATAAATGCTGACATGGCTGAAATTGCTTCAGCATGGCTCGCCCTTCTTTGTTGTATTCTGAACCGACCAGGCAAAACACTACCAAATTTGCAACAGAAATGAACGAATGAAAAACAAAATGCTACAAGAATTCCAAACTAACCTCTACAGCAAATGTTCTGTGCTCTGAAAACTTGGAGCCAGGCTTTGTTTTATAACAGATGAAGCGAGGACAGACCGCAGGGTGGAAAAAGGTAAATCATAGGCTTGGTACGTCTTAGGATAAGTGCATATAGCTGGTTAAAACCCAGGAAAATCTACTTAATGATGACATATGAAGACTTTAATAGCTTTTTGTTATTCATTAGTATCTTGATGAATAACAAATTAAAAACTTTTGCTGCCTCAGGAGTGTTTAAAATCATTACAGCAGGACCACTAGTCCATAGATTCCCTTTTCTATTACATAAATTTTGTTCGATATCATTATCTTGCATGGCCTTGAAATATTATGCCCTTTTGCATTCCCTGATTAAATAATTTAGCATGATTTAACATGGCAATTAATTACCGAGTCAGCGCGACTGACTGTCAGATGGGGAAAAAGGTCAATTTCACCTGCCCATGCAGAGAACTCTGCTTATAGCTGCCTATCGCTCAGCACTGGAGTAAAATGAGGACAGAGTATAGGACAGGAAAATGTATGTTTTATCATCCTGCCTTTCTTTATATAATTCAGGCACTTTGCACATGAGTAGTGATCTCGTGTGATAACACATATATTGTAAAAAAAAAAAATCAATTAAATTATTTATCTAGGAAACACGTAAAACTCAAAATCCAACCCTTCACAAATTTTCATCTGGCCCACCTTTTAGTTTATGTACAAGCTAACAACCTTAACCTATATCACAAAGATGCAAATCCAATGCTGAGCATAAAGAGAGGACCATGTGCATCCATTTCCCAAGAAACAATCTCATATACTTCTATTGTCATTTTGAAACCACATGCCAGCAAAGTTACAGAGCCATGTAGAGAGTATAGAGGCTTCAAAAAGTCACTGCCTAAAAAGAGGCAGGCAGCTACAAAAATGTGATTTTTACAAGCCAAATCCCAAAGTGATGGAGCTGTTTAGGCAAGCTTCATAATAGAAGATACAAGCCCATTAGTGGAGGATATTCACACGCAGCTACTGAGCTGTCATGTCGAGGTCTGTGAAAAAGACAATACTACACTTGTAAAAATATGTGCACAAAAAAAAGGTTAAATTATTTTGCTTTTATCAGGATGTCTCTTCCTTATTAAGTGACTCACACCAGAATGTAGTTTGTTTGACTAAACAAATGATGGTTAGGCAACATGTGGAAGTTTTAGGGGCTTTCTGTGGAACAATTTATGTATAAGAAAGCTCTACGGGACATAAACAACAATATAATTCAGGATATTTTTTATTATTTTTGATTAAATAAAACCATGTTAGTGCTCTCATTTCCCAGACTGGCCCTAGTGAAATTGAGTTTGATACCCCTGCTTTACAAACATCAGCATGCTGACTGAAGTATACAACTCAGACAGCTGGGAGGTTGAGTTTTGTTGTAGCTTTGTTTTAACCTTATGTGATCAGACGTTTCCTCAGCACCATCATCATATCGGATCATGATTTATGTCCTCAGAGTTCTTGGTTTAAATCACTAACAGATGATAGCTAAAGCTACATGGCCTGTAACAACTTTATTTATTTTATTTTTTATTCTTTTGTGAAAAGCATCAGGCCTAGCACAGAACCCTGTGGATCTCCATGATCATCTGTGTGTGAGGAAGACTCATTAGTTATATGAACAAATAAGGATTTATTGGATAAGCGTGACTGAAACCAGCACAATGCATTTCCTTTAATGTCTAGTGTCATAGTAGTTATTCTCAAAGCTAATGCCAAGAAAAACAAACTGAATAAAGATCAGCAGTTTCTAAAGCTGCTCTACTTGATCATACATCTGCCAGCTCTGTATGGAGGCTAGGTTTTTTTCTTCTTTTCTTACTGGTCAGAACTTTATTTGTAAAGGAGCTCATTAAGTCATTACTACTGATAGTTAAAGGGATACAAGGTTCAAGAGGACTGTGATGAACAGAGCTGTGCTATTCCCTCAGGTCTATTTTTATGTTCTGTTTCTGTTTGCTTTCTCTAAGCCAATCAGCTCCCACTCCTTGTTCTTTAAATCCCGCCTTGAAAATCATCATACATCCCTTCTCTTCCTCTCCATCTCCACCTCATTTGTAATGTCCAAGACGTCTCATTCAAAATCTCCATCAGCCATCTGCTTACTCTGCTCCACCACCAGCTTCAAGGCTCCAGGGGGTCCTGTCACTGTCTCCTACTGTCACTGGACTCTGCTTTATGATGTCACTTCTAATCAGTCTAACTGCCAAAACACTTCAGTTTGCATGGTCCATTTCTGCTTATTGTGCTTGCACTACACTCTGAAACAATTATGACACAATTTTTAATTAACATGTCACAGGCAAGTTTTCAAGTATTTTGGGGGGTTTGTTTAGACTATTTGCACACACACACACACAAAATCTGTAGGCAAACAGTTAACTGTTAACTAATGAACATATAATCATTGCTATCACCTGAGTAACATCATGCATTTTTTTAACCTCAGATCAATACAAGTCACGTAGGTAAAAAACATTTAGAGTGAGTGATACCTTTTGTGTTTGTCAGTGGTGAGACTTTTCTTGTTGGCAGTTCCATCTTGTTGCAGAGCCTTTTCTAGTGAAAGTGGTGTGTCCCGTATTTGTAGAGACATCACTAAGGTATCCTGACTGACAGGCAGTGTTTCCTCATCTCCTCCTTGTTGGCCAAGGTGCTGTTTGGCATAGTCAAAACCTTGGACTGGCTGATAGACAAGTAGGGTGAAAATGCAGAGTGACAAAAAGTATAGCTGAAGTGAGAGTGATTTCTTTATCACATAACTCTTGTCAAAAAAAGTAACCATTTCAAGCAACACAGAACTATGCTGCCCAGAACGAGTGTTACAAATATCTCAGTATAGCTAAAATACACAGTGAATATTTTGATGTCCAAAGGATTTAGGAAAAAGAAGTGGGGATTACTGCACCACTGCGCCTTTAAAAAAGATAAGCACAGATTTAACTGAGGCCCTTTTTCATGTTCTTCCAAATTCTTGTCAAATAAATGACTTGCAGTGGGCGGTGACAAAAATGGGATTTGCAGACTTTTACAGAAATACAGCAATAAAGTTATATATTAAAAAATATTTGAGGACAAGCGAGGAAAGGTACAGGCTTCTACCTAACACTTGAAGCCAATATACTGAAAAAAACCCAAACAGTAGTAGCCGAAATACTTCAGACCCACTCACTAATACATACACATACGTTAAAATATTTAGGACCGCTCCCATCACGGTGTCATAAATTGTCAGACACACATCACTGCCTCAAAGTAACCCAGACATGGTGCAAAATCACAAAGTGTGACACTGCTGTGAACATTCATCCTCTCTCTGCTGATAGAGCACACACACACACACACACACACACACACACACACACAC